GTCAGAGACGTGGGGTCTAGTGTTTGGAGCAGTGGCCTGAGATCAGGATTCTTGGGTTTGGTTGCCAGTCCTCTCCCAACTTGATTAATGGCCCTTGGAAAGCCACTTAGGGCAACAAGGGCCTGATTTTGAGAGGTACTGAGCACCGAGAGTTCCCATTGACACCAGTGAGAGTCATCAGTGCTTAGCACCCTTGGAAATCAGGACGTCTTAGTTAGGTGTTAACATTTGTGCACTCAGGTTTGGAAACATGGAGGTTAATCTCTCAGTGCCTGGAATATGGGGCCAATAAATGTTCCCGCCTCACAGGGGGGTTGTGAGTGTCAGGGCGCGTGTACACACTACATTGCACCAGTTTAAATGTCCCTAATTTAATTCAACTGCTGCTAAAGCCTGTGAGGACATTTAGTTTGCTTTAAGAGTATCTGATTTCATTTCCCTGAAGTCGATTAGGCCTTGTCTACACAAGAAGGTTGCACTGCTTTAACCAATGGTGTGAAGCCAGTGTAAACCCCTGTAGTACAAAGCCTCTGCTGTGGACTCAGTTATCTGTATAATAAGATTTCAGGCTTGTCACCTCTCAGTGTGTCACCCTGAAGCGTAGAACATCTAGACTGCCCAGATTACTTGGTCCAACTGCCACACCTGTGTGATAGCCTGGGCTTTCAGCTACTAGCACCGGTCTGAAGGTGCTTATACCCAGAGGATATGCTGGTAAAAGGCACCTTTATATGGATATAACCCAAGTGTAGAAAGTTATATGGATGTAGCTATTTTGGTAGAAAATCACACTCCTATCCAACATAGTCAGACTGGTGTACAAGCCATGTGTAGACAGGCTTGTGTGAACATTCTGATTTCAGTTTAAGGACTGGACTACACGTGTTTTTGTACTGCTTTGTATCAGTCTGGAAACGCATAGAATGTGACACCCCACAGTGAAGACACAATTGGACCAGTAACAAGGGGCTCATATCAGCATCACTTATTTCATTACATTTTCCGAAATAATCTATACGGACATAAGCACCTTCCTACCTGTGCCTTTTGTCGTCCCCGCGACATATCAAAGCTCATACGTTACCTGTGATCTGTTGCCAGCTTCCTCCCACCAGCTTGTAGATGTTGTCGTTGTTGTTCACACCCCAGACTCCGGCAGGACCAACTGTGACGTGTTTCAAGGAGCCCGGCAGCTGGACCCAGCTGTCTCCATACAGCGTGTAAATATTGCCTGCGCTGTTCACTCCAAACACCTGCCCATTACTGGCATCAATCTGCTTTAGTGACCCCGGTATCTCAGTGCAGTCCAGAGCTGAAAAGCATAGTGAGAATGTTCATGCACATGGACTTTTTTAGTAAGCGGGAGAAATAGCCACAAAAGAGAGAGAGCTTGGGGTCTGGGTGGCTGACGATATAGAGACCTTTGCTTACACGTCCCTCAATGGTCTGAATCCAGAATAGGAGGGTGGTGGCCCAATGTTCTTACCACCTAATATCTGCTTGGAGGCCCATGTGAAATGAGTTTGGGGGTCCTATTCTAGTTCCCAAAGTATTAGAATCGCAGCTGCTGCTAATTGGCTCCCTGTTGCCATCCGCAACAGAAAGGCCAAGGATTATATCGACCACAGAGACGGAGCTCCAGTCTCACCACTACAGGTGGTCCCTCCTGGTCAGAGCTGAGCCACATTATGGGGGAAGCTTCCCCTGCCCTTGCACCTGCCCCTGCCCAGAG